ATACTCAACTGTAAAATAACACTGGATAGTCTTCACTGTATAATGAAAGGCAGCAGCAGGTTTATTTAGGCTGCTGTCTCTTTAAGACCTCACGCACGGCTCTAATATACTGATACACTCTCAACTTTTTCTGACACACTCTAGGCTTACTTTTATTTTTAGGAGCGCTTGTCCTCCTAATTAAAAAAAAATAGGAGCACCTTCTGATCAATAATCAAAAATTCTGATGAACAGCTGATTCATTCAGGAATTAAATCTTTATGAATGGGTAATCATGAATCACTGACTCACTAGATTCGTTCAAAAACGCACTTTCATTCATGAATGAAACTCGGCTGTGTTTGCTTTTATATTTGGAACTATTTTCGTTGATGAAATATATACAGTAAGACAATAAGAATGTTTGCGGGAGCGTGACACACACGTTGCGGGAGTGGGCGGTAACGGTCAGAAATTCAGCGGGAGTGAGCTTAAGAAAACTCTGCGCATCAAAACAAGTTTTTTCTTCGCGCTCCCCCATCTCCACCCCCAATCATTAGTGCCGCTTGTTCGGTCTTTGACAGAACATATAGGACAATTTTTTAAATAGCGCCATAAACAACTTATTTTAAATTTAATTCAAGCACTTTCAAGGACCTATGTTTGTTTTCAAGTACTTTCCAGGCCTTGAATCCATATGTCTGAAATTCAAGTACTTTCAAGAAGTGTGGGAACCCTGACAACATGAGGATTATAAGTCAAAAACCCTGCTCTGCATTTGAGAATGTGCAAAATTAAGTGGGGAATAAAATAAAAGTACAAATACTGTAACAAATAATAGTAAAAGATTACAATATAGATGTAGAAAAATCAAGTTAATAGATTGCAAATAAAAGCAGAATGATCAAATGGTCAACACTGTGTGAAATGTAATCTTAAATCGTCTAAAAAAAAAAAAAAAAAAAAAACTTGACATTTGTGCACATTTTGCATAAAGAACCGTTTATTTCACTGAGAGACAATGTCATTAAGTGAGAAATTAATTAAATTTCTCTCCTTGAAATGAACACATTTTACACCATTTAACTATAAATGTTATTAACATTTTAATGTTTACAACATTAACATTTAACACAGTTAACAGTTTCAGTTGGTGCCGGTGGAGCCGAAGCCTCCCGCTCCTCTCTCCGTCTCGTCCAGCGTCTGAAACCAGAAAACATGACGCAAATACAGCAGACTGCGGAGTCATACGAGTGAAGCATGCATGTTAACCACAGCAGCGTGTACCTGTAACTCCTGCAGCTCCGGGTAATAGATTCTCTCACAGATCAGCTGAGCGATGCGGTCGCCCTTCTTCACTGTGTTGGAAAAACATGCGTGTTGTCATTTAGAGCAGCATTTTTGTTTTTTTTGGTTCAGTTTCTCAGAAAACAAGACCTCATGTGTGTCCCTGGAGCACAAAAGCAGTGTTAAGTCGCTGGGGTATATTTGTAGCAATAGTCAACAATACATTGTATGGGTCAAAATTATACATTTCTCTTTTATGCCAAAAATCATTAGGATATTAAGTAAAGATCATGTTCATGAAGATATTTTGTAAATTTCCTACTGTAAATATATCAAAACTTAATGTTTGATTAGTAATATGCATTGCTAAGAACTTCATTTGAACAACTTTAAAGATGATTTTCTCAATATTTGGATTTTTTTGCACCCTCAGATTCCAGATTTTCAAATATTGTCCTATCCTAACAAACCATACATCAATGGAAAGTGCATTTATTCAGCTTCCAGATGATGCATAAATCTCAATTTCACAATAATGACCCTTATGACTGGTTTTGTGCTCCAGGGTCACATATGTTCAGTTTGCATCTCCGGTAAAAGCATCTTTAAGGATGTTTAGATATTCGTTCTGAAAAAGGAGTTAAAAACAGGAAGGTTCAGGTTTTGCGGTGCATGCAACATTTAATGTCATGACTTCATGAATGCAAGACTTTCTGCTCCGATTCAAGAGCTTTTTAGGTTATAATTAATTTGCTGTAGCTGCGGTCTCACCTTCAAACGGCTCTTTGTTGAAGTTGAAGAGCACGACTCCCAGATTCCCCCTGTAGTCGTAAATTTCCTACTGTAAATATATCAAAACTTAATGTTTGATTAGTAATATGCATTGCTAAGAACTTCATTTGAACAACTTTAAAGATGATTTTCTCAATATTTGGATTTTTTTGCTCCCTCAGATTCCAGATTTTCAAATATTGTCCTATCCTAACAAACCATACATCAATGGAAAGTGCATTTATTCAGCTTCCAGCTGATGCATAAATCTCAATTTCACAATAATGACCCTTATGACTGGTTTTGTGCTCCAGGGTCACATATATTCAGTTTGCATCTCCGGTAAAAGCATCTTTAAGGATGTTTAGATATTCGTTCTGAAAAAGGAGTTAAAAACAGGAAGGTTCAGGTTTTGCGGTGCATGCAACATTTAATGTCATGACTTCATGAATGCAAGACTTTCTGCTCCGATTCAAGAGCTTTTTAGGTTATAATTAATTTGCTGTAGCTGCGGTCTCACCTTCAAACGGCTCTTTGTTGAAGTTGAAGAGCACGACTCCCAGATTCCCCCTGTAGTCCTCATCCACCACGCCAGCTGTAGACACACCACACATGTGAGATCACAGCAAAGCATCACATTCTCATGTCATTGATTCACGAGCAACGTACCGCCAACATCGATGAAGTGCTTGACGGCGAGACCCGAGCGAGGAGCTGCAACACAAGAGAGTTAGTGAAGAAACAAACAGTTTCTGGACTGGCTTCTGTAGCTCTCGCTCACCAACTCGGCCGTAGTATCCGTGTGGAACCGCGATCTGGATGTCCGTCTTCACCAGAGCTTTGTCCATCGGCCCGATGCTGCAGTCATACGCACTGAAACACACACGAGGTTCTGTGATCAATCACAGCTCGTCTAATGCACTGAAGCAGCAGTGAACACAGAATTAAGAAGAAACAATGCAAAAGAGAAATATGCATGCTATCTAATCCATTCATCAAGTGCACTGATGCAGCAGTGAATCCTGGAATATAAGACTTTTCTGCAGGTCAAAGAGTATTAAAACGCAGAATTAAGAGGGAAAATCAATGCAAGAGAAATATAAACATAAGCAGTGCAGCATGCATGTGCACAACACTGTAACGTTATCTAATCACGGTGCAACAAATGCACAAAAGCAGCAGTAAATACTAGAATTACAAGCTTTTTCTGCAGGACAACGAGTATAAAAACGCGGAATTTAGAGGGAAAAATAAACGCAAAAGAGAAATGTGCATGAATCTAGCCACGTGCAGAGCAGCACGCATGCGCAGAACAACACTCTTATCACCGTTCATCAAATGCAGTAAAGCAGCAGTAAATACTGCCGGTAAAAATGTTTTCTACAGGTTAAAACATATTAAAAAATACAAAAGCAGCAGTAAATACTAGAATTACAAGCTTTTTCTGCAGGACAACGAGTATAAAAACGCGGAATTTAGAGAGAAAAATAAACGCAAGAGAGAACTGTGCATGAATCTAGCCACGTGCAGAGCAGCACGCATGCGCAGAACAACACTCTTATCACCGTTCATCAAATGCAGTAAAGCAGCAGTAGATACTGCCAGTAAAAATGTTTTCTACAGGTTAAAACATATTAAAAAATACAAAAATAAGATTAAAAAAAAACAGAATTAAGAGGGGTTAAACACTGCAGACGGGAATTCTGCATGAATCTAAACGTGCAGAACAGCATGTAAGTTATGTGCAGGACACAGAGAAACGGTGTTCGTCTGCCAGCAGCTGCGGCTCGAGTCTCACCTGTACAGGTCGAATCCCGCGGCTCGGTTCGATCCTCGGCTCGGTGTCGTGGCGTTTTCTGTCAGCTTGGCGAATTTGAGCACCTTCAGGTCTTCGTGTCCGTCCACCGCATCACTCTTGCATCTCTTCTGCGGAGAAACCGCTTCTGTAACTCCAGAGCAGGGCATCTTACCGACGAGGATCACGACAGAGAGCCACAGTTATGTGAGGTGACTGACAGGATAAATAAAGCGCGCCAAATGCTTTATTTTGAATGGCTCTACGGCGGGAAACGCTCTGAGTGGTGGGTGCTGCTCGGTGTTGCCAAGTCCGCCGTTTTCCCGCGGAATTGGGCTACTTTACGGTTGACGCGACCCAAAAAACTTGATATTTAACACACACAAAAAAACGCTCATTTTACCCGAATTTACTGGGAACCCTCTCGAAACGCGATTGGGCTAGTTTTGGTCTATTTTGAGTAGCAATTGGGCGGATTTTGGTGTGAAAACCTGGCAACCCTGGCGCTGCGTGAACGTCAAAAAGAGGAGGTTTCATTTAAATATGGAATTTATTAAATTAAATTAGTCTAGGGATGGGAGATACCTCTTATTTTATTTTCGATCCGATACTGATATTTTCAAGCCCAGTGTCGTCGATATCGATACCTTAAACTGATCTTTTAAATTATTAAAAGAATATAATCAGTAATTATACTCACTTAATATTAGATTTTAAAGCCACGTTTTTTAACATTTCATAGGCCTGGCTTTTTTTGTTTACACTGTCAGAAATAAAATATACTATAATTGTATTTTAGCCCTTTACTGGGGCAGTAACCTCAAAGGTGCAACTACCCCTAAAAGGGAGCATATTAGTGCCATACAGATAGATAAGTTACAAAGGTGCACCTTTGAGGATACCTCATGAAAAATAAACGTTACAGAAGTACAGAATGTATTATTATTGTTATTACCATGGTAAATTTGTGGTTACTGCAGTTTTACGACAAATACTGTTGTAAACTGTGGTTACTGTAATAAAACCAGGGTTATTTTTTGTAAAAGGCTGTCTGTGATTGGCTGGTTCTGTCTTTCAGCATTTGCGTGTGTTCCGATGAGCGGGAGAAATAGTTCTATACAACACAATTATTCGCTAATATAGCCTGGCTCGAGTCTCACCTGTACAGGTCGAATCCCGCGGCTCGGTTCGATCCTCGGCTCGGTGTCGTGGCGTTTTCTGTCAGCTTGGCGAATTTGAGCACCTTCAGGTCTTCGTGTCCGTCCACCGCATCACTCTTGCATCTCTTCTGCGGAGAAACCGCTTCTGTAACTCCAGAGCAGGGCATCTTACCGACGAGGATCACGACAGAGAGCCACAGTTATGTGAGGTGACTGACAGGATAAATAAAGCGCGCCAAATGCTTTATTTTGAATGGCTCTACGGCGGGAAACGCTCTGAGTGGTGGATGCTGCTCGGTGTTGCCAAGTCCGCCGTTTTCCCGCGGAATTGGGCTACTTTACGGTTGACGCGACCCAAAAAACTTGATATTTAACACACACAAAAAAACGCTCATTTTACCCGAATTTACTGGGAACCCTCTCGAAACGCGATTGGGCTAGTTTTGGTCTATTTTGAGTAGCAATTGGGCGGATTTTGGTGTGAAAACCTGGCAACCCTGGCGCTGCGTGAACGTCAAAAAGAGGAGGTTTCATTTAAATATGGAATTTATTAAAAATTAAATTAGTCTAGGGATGGGAGATACCTCTTATTTTATTTTCGATCCGATACTGATATTTTCAAGCCCAGTGTCGTCGATATCGATACCTTAAACTGATCTTTTAAATTATTAAAAGAATATAATCAGTAATTATACTCACTTAATATTAGATTTTAAAGCCACGTTTTTTAACATTTCATAGGCCTGGCTTTTTTTGTTTACACTGTCAGAAATAAAATATACTATAATTGTATTTTAGCCCTTTACTGGGGCAGTAACCTCAAAGGTGCAACTACCCCTAAAAGGGAGCATATTAGTGCCATACAGATAGATAAGTTACAAAGGTGCACCTTTGAGGATACCTCATGAAAAATAAACGTTACAGAAGTACAGAATGTATTATTATTGTTATTACCATGGTAAATTTGTGGTTACTGCAGTTTTACGACAAATACTGTTGTAAACTGTGGTTACTGTAATAAAACCAGGGTTATTTTTTTCGTAAAAGGCTGTCTGTGATTGGCTGGTTCAGTCTTTCAGCATTTGCGTGTGTTCCGATGAGCGGGAGAAATAGTTCTATACAACACAATTATTCGCTAATATAGCCTGTTTTTCCACTTAGAAGCTTATTTTATGCACCGAATTTCTTGATAAATAAATAAAATTAATGGTTAAAAAAATGCACTTTAGAATCGATATTTTCATGCGATGATCGATCCCATCCCAAGTCGTCATTATTAAACTAGATGATCCCTTGTGGCAACCACTAATCGGGAGAAACCGGAAGTAGTCATTGTTTATCAATATAGCACCTTATATAGCAGACATATACTTGATGTACTACATTCATTACCTTCTCCGTGTCAATGTAAGTTAGAAGTGATATCACATTTTTATTCTGTTATTCATAACATAGCCTGCACGTTATGAATGAAGAGTTAAATGTGATCCAGAAGTGAAGTGTAGCGGATGTGATATCACGGAGCGTCGCGCTGCTGTCCGTTATTAACGGTTATGTCGTGTTGTTATAGTGCTGCTGACCTCCAGCGCCGCGTCCGACACCAAATCCGTTTAAACCGCGAACAGCAGCCACAGAAACGCGCCAAACCAACATCTTCAACGGTAAATTAATCCGCCATATTTGTTGTTGTCGTTTGCGTTCTGGGAGTTGTAGTTTTTACGCTGTGTAGTTCTCGGAGGTTGTCTATTAACGGTCAATCTGTTTGAACTCACCGTCCATCGCGTATTTGTGTGAGAAACCGTTCCGTTGATTCAGAACGAAGCGGAATCATGTGAACGTTAAACGGCGCATTCTGAGGAAAAAACTCGTCACGATGGCGGCGTCAGCGTTAAATACTCAGGTGAAATTAATTATGATAATTAATCACGTTGATCTGAAGAACATCCGCCTGCATAACACCTGTTATCCGGCGAATATTCGTACAAACGGTTCACAGCTCGTTTGGAATTTTGTTGTTGTTCTTGGTTTGAATCAACCGTTAAAAATACCGCGTTCCTTCAAAATACTATTACTGCTTTAAATCACAATAAATTATTTAATCAGAAATATCACATTCAAACAGTGACAGAACGTGTCATTCTGTTTTTTTCCCTAAGTACAATAACTTAAACGAGAAATTTGTTTAAAACTAGCATATAGTACCACAAACACCTTTACTTTTGAGACACTAAAATGCATTTTCAAAAATTGGTTTATTTACTGTGAGAAAACGTTTTTGTCATTGTGAAATTATTTCATGATATGTTAATTTTCACAGTCTTTCCCAGTACCACAGAAATATAAATACGATCGCAATCATAATGGTTAGTGAATATATTTACAAAAGTATCACTATACTTGAAAAAAATAAGATACTTTAATTGATCACTCTGAATAATTTGACACTAAGATGCTTTTGTTTACACACAGATCTATTGTTTGTCCAGTAGAGGGCAGTATAGAGTCACAGTGGATACTAGCATACTGCATACTGCGCAGTGTACACTGAATAGTGTCTTCATTACAGTATGCAACAGTGATGTTTAAATCATGCTATTTATACCTCATTATGTTGCATGTTAAATTCAGTCATGGCTTTGATTCAGAATGATTCATGTTATTTTAGGTAAAAATGACTTTTGGTGGTTTTTGATGAATAGAAAGTTTTAAAAAAATCTAAATTTCTTTGAAATCGAAATCAACATTATAAATGTCTTTTCTGTCACTTTTGATCAATTTTATGCATATATTTTAAAAAAATCATATTTACCCCGTACTTTTGAATGGTAGTGTATCACAGTTTTCACAAATACATCAAGCAGCAAAAGCAGTTTTCAGCATCGATAATAAGAAAAGTTTTTTTGGCAGTCTGATCAAATAATAAATATAGATCATGGGTTCATTCTTCATATACAATATGCCTTATCATATGCTAAATTCAGTGAATGGCTTTTTATTTTGCATTTTTAATGTTACTTTGTGTAAAAATGTCTGATCAAATAAGTCGGATATAGATGGATTCATTTTTCATGTAAAATATACATGAGTGGTATGCTGTTGAACACGGCCTGTGTGTGTGTGTGTGCGTGTGCGTGTGCGTGTATGTGTGTGAGTGTGAGTGTGTGTGTCTCTGTGTGTGTGTGCGTGTGTGTGTGCGTGTGTCTGCGTGTGTCTGTGCGTGTGTGTGTGTGTGTGTGTGTGTTCTGCTCTTCAGGAGTAGAAGGTCAGCACGCTCTGATGGTTTCCTCGTATCAGGACGGTCGGCGTCAGTGCTCCTCGTATCTGGAACGGCTCGATCATGTCTTCGAACAGTTTCCAGCTGACACACACACACACATAGACACACACACGCATGCACACACTCACATACACACACACACACAGAGTGAGTAAGTGCATTCGGAGCACGTGGTCAGTGAATGAAATGAGGATTCATTGTGTGTGTTTTTCATTCACACCTCTCTGCGCTGGGCCTGACGTTGATGTCTGTGATAACTTTGATGTCGGCGCATTAGATCCTGAACTTCTTCAGAAGTTCCTGCATTCTGACAGACAGTTACGGAGAAAAACACACATGTTACTAGTCAGTGCTGGGAAGGTTACTTTGGAAATGTAATAGGTTACAGATTACAAGTTACTCTATTTAAAATTTAATAAGTAGTGTAACTATTTCAATT